TGTTGCAGAATTCTAAAATCTCAGATCTGAAGCATCTGAGCCTGTTCCTTCCTAAAGTATAAAAGAAAACCTAAAAGAAGAAGAGATTCGATTTATACCCTGCCCTTCACTCCCCGAAGGGGTCTCAGAGCGGCTTGCAATCTCCTTTCTCTTTCCCACAACAGACACTCTGAGATGTAGGTGGGGCTGAGAGAGCTCTCTCGGGAACTGCCCTTGAGAGAACAGCTCTGAAAACTTGTGACTGACCCAAGGTCACACCAGCAGCTGCACGTGGAGGAGTGGGGAATCAAACCCGGTTCTTCCAGATTAGAGTCTGCGCGCTCAACCGCTAACACCAAAAGAAAACCTAGCCAATTAACAGCCACTTCACATTCGTTGTTTATGGCTGTATTGAGGTCACTGTGGTTGACTTTTCGATGGATGACACCGAACCGTTCACAATGTACAGAATGTCTATAACTTGTTTCTTTCGTGCAGCTGAAACCCATGTCTCTGTTGGGTTGTTTATTGAGAAGGCCCCACATCTGTTGAGCCACGGAGAAACTGGACTTGTCCAGTTTGACCCAAGGGAAATTAGCCTTAAGGCTTTAATCCTGTTTTGGCACAAACATTTTGTTTTTAAATCTGTCGGCGGGGTCTTTTAAAACGGCAGTGAGCTCTTCGCAAATAGCCATGCAAATGCCGTTCACTTGGACGGTGCAGTCGAACGAAAATAGTGTATCTCGATTTGCATTTGATAGCCGCATTGCAAATGAGATACACGGGAGGTAGAAAGATCTTTGGCTCTGAGCGTAGAGTAACTTCTCCCAATAGTTTTTTTTTTAAAATTATATTTCACTAAATCCTGCTTCAGACGTCACACGGACACTTCATTTCCCTCCTTTCTGCTTTAGAAATGGAAACCAACATGTTGACGTTTAAATAAAGTGGGTAACAATCAGTGGAAGCTGGTCTGAACACCTTCCTTGCTCCTACTAGACCTGTTCAGTTCTGTAGCCAAACTGTCCAGATGGGGTTTAGACAATTGTATGGGTCAGAGCTAGGGTTGCCAACCTCCAGGTGCAGCCTGGAGACCTGCGATTACACTTGTTCTCCAGCCCAAGATCAGACCCCCTGGAGAGAATGGCTGCTTTGGAAGATGAATGCAATGGCATGGTGCTCCCCAAACCCCCCTCCAAATCTCCAGGTATTACCCAACCCAGAGCAAAGTCCGGAGTGGGACCTGATCCACTTAGGAGAGCCATTTTGGTGTAGTAGAGAAGAAGAAGAGAGGAGATTGGATTTATACCCCATGGCCCTTCACTACTCAAAGGAGTCTCAGAGCGGCTGACAAACTCCTTTCCCTTCCCCTCCCCACAACAGACACCCTGTGAGGGAGGTGGGGCTGAGAGAGCTCTCTCGAGGACTGCTCTTGAAAGAACAGCTCTGAGAGAACTTGTGACTGACCCAAGAAGAAGAGGAGATTGGATTTATACCCCGCCCTTCACTACCCAAAGGAGTCTTAGAGGGGCTAACAAACTCCTTTCCCTCCCCCTCCCCACAACAGAAACTCTGGGAGGTCGGTGGGGCTGAGAGAGCTCTGACAGGAACTGCTCTTTTTCGAGAACAGCTCTGACAGAACTACGGCTTGCCCAAGGTCATCCAGCCAGGTGCAAGTGGAGGAGTGGGGAAATCAAACCCGATTCTCCCAGATTAGAGTCCATGCACTTAACCACTACACCAAACTGGCATGGACTCTAATCTGGGAGAACTGGGTTTGATTCCCCACTCCTCCATGTGCAGCTGCTGGTGTGACCTTGGATCAGTCACAAGTTCTTTCAGAGCTGTTCTTGAAAAAGAGCCATTTCTGTCAGAG